TCCTGGTTGGTGCTGGCCTCCCGGGAGGTTACACGAGGCTGGCTCCAGGGGATCATAAGTGCTTCTTTGAGTGAGGGTGCCTTTCCTGCCGCCTTGAAAGAGGCGGTAGTGAGGCCCCTCCTCAAGAAGCCTTCCCTGGACCCGGCTGAATTAGCCAACTATCGTCCAGTCTCCAACCTTCGTTTTGTGGCGAAGGTTGTTGAGAGCGTGGTGGCACGACAACTTCCCCGGCACCTGGATGAAGCTATCTATCTGGACCCGTACCAGTCGGGCTTCAGGCAGGGGTACAGCACAGAAACGGCATTGGTCGCGTTGGTGGATGATCTCTGGAGGGCTCGGGACAGGGGTTGCTCCTCTGTCCTAGTCCTATTAGACCTCTCAGCGGCTTTTGATACCATCGACCATGGTATCATGCTGCAGCGGTTGGGGGGGTTAGGAATAGGGGGCACCGTTTTGCGGTGGTTCTCCTCCTTCCTCTCCGACCGCTCGCAGTTTGTGTTGGCAGGAGGACAGAGGTCGACCTCGAGGCATCTCGCATGGGGAGTGCCGCAAGGGTCGGTCCTCTCGCCTCTCCTGTTCAACATTTATGTGAAGCCGCTGGGTGAGATCATCCGTGGTTTTGGGGTGAAGTGTCATCTGTACGCTGACGATACGCAGCTGTACATCTCCACTCCAGACCACCCCAACGATGCCCTTGATGTGATGTCCCGCTGCCTGGAGGCCGTGCGGGTCTGGATGGGGAGGAACAGGCTCAGACTCAACCCCTCCAAGACCGAGTGGCTGTGGCTTCCGGCGCCCCGATATAGTCAGCAGGTGCCATCGCAGACTATTGGGGGTGAATCTTTGCCCCCCACAGAGAGGGCTCGCAATCTGGGTGTCCTCCTGGACGCACGGCTGTCTTTAGAAGAGCACATGACGGCCGTGGCCAGGGGGGCCTTTTATCAGGTTCGCCTGATTCGCCAGTTGCAGCCTTTTCTGGATCGGGACGCCTTGCGCACGGTCACTCATGCCCTTGTCACCTCCCGGTTGGACTACTGTAATGCTCTCTACATGGGGCTCCCCTTGAAGAGCATTCGGAGGCTCCAACTGGTCCAGAATGCGGCCGCGCGGGTGGTTATGGGTGCAACTCGTTGCGCCCACGTGACACCCCTCCTGCGTGAGCTGCATTGGCTCCCAGTGGTCTTCTGGGTGCGATTCAAGGTGTTGGTTACCACCTTTAAAGCGCTCCATGGCATAGGACCCGGGTACCTTCGAGACCGACTTCTGCCACCAATAGCCTCCCACCGACCAGTCCGCTCCCACAGAGAGGGTCTCCTCAGGGTTCCATCGGCCAAGTTATGTCGGCTGGCGACACCCAGGGGGAGGGCCTTCTCTGTGGGAGCCCCAGCCCTGTGGAATGAACTGCCCCCGGAAATACGTAAGATCTCCGACCTCCGGGTGTTTCGCTGCGCTCTGAAGACCCTGTTGTTCCGCCAGGCCGGGCTATTAACATAACGTTTTAAATTGGGGTATTTTTAAATTCCTGGGATTTTAATTGGAGCCTAATTATTTAATGATTTTAAATTTTAACTGTTGTTTTTGTTTTTGTGTTTTTAAATAGGCTGTACACCGCCCTGAGTCCTTCGGGAGAAGGGCGGTATAGAAATAGAAATAATAAATAAATAAATAATAAATCCGAAATTTTTCGCCCAAATTATCATATTTTCTTTGACCACTTCTTCTAATTTATATCTTAATAAATAATTATAAGTTTTGGTTATCAATTTATCATCTGTCCCTTGTAAAATTTTATCTAATTCACATGGCTCTTTTTGGAATCCAAATTGTACCGAATCTGTTTTATACCTAGATTTTATTTGTAAGTATGGCCACCAATCAATCTGTACCCTGTTCTTTCAGTTCTTGTCTTGATCTTAATTCCCCTTGGCTGTTTAACAAATCTTTATAGGTTTTAATTTTATCAATATCCATAGCATTGGGGTAGATCTGTGCCTCCATGGTCGATACCCATTCTGGAATTTTTATTTATTTATTTTATTTTATTTCAAATTTATATACCGCACCTTCTCCCAAAGGACTCAGGGCCGTGTACAGCCAGATAAAAACATACAATACAAACATTAAGAACAATTAAAAGAATATATATTAATTTTATCATAATGTACTTTTTTTTATCTCCTGCCAGGTTTGCTTCTCTAATAATATGTTGTTGGAAATATCCGTGTTGTTTCTGTTTTCCCACCCACAGAAATGCATGCCAGCCTCTTTGTAAATCAAAATCTTCTAATGTCAGTATTCTTTTATTTTTGAGTTCTATCCAGTCCTTAATCCAAATCAGGGATGCTGCTTTGTAGTACGTTTCCCAATCCGGTAATCCTAATCCTCCTCTCTCTCTTGTATCTTGTAAGTGTTTTATTATGATCCTTGCTTTCTTCCCCTGCCAGATGTAATTTGCAATCATTTTGTTAAAATCTTTAAAGAAATCCTTCCGCTGTTTTATCGGAATTACTTGAAACAAATAAAGGATTCTGGGTAATACGTTCATTTTAATCGAGGCGATCTTTCCCAGGAATGATAATTGTAACTTACGCCACATTTCTAAATCCTTTTTTATCTGTCTTGTCAATTTATTATAATTGTCCTCTCTAATTGATGAGCCTTTGTTAGTAAGCCAGATTCCTAAATATTTTATCTTTTTTGACATTTGTATTCCCAATTTATCTTCTAATTCTTTCTCTTGTTGGTTTGTAAGGTTTTTTGTTAATACCTTTGTTTTTTGTTTGTTAATTTTAAGTCCAGCTACCCTTCCATACTTTTCTATTCTTGCTAATAATTTAGTTCCTGTTGATATTGGCTGTTTTCCTGACTCGCTGCTCAGATATTCCTACGACTGGGACAGCTTGTCTGTGATTTGCTTGACTGAGTGCCAATCAACCCCTCTGAAGCTGGTCTCGGCACTCCCTCTCGGTAGTCCCCAGTCTTTTCGCTCAGTCTAAGGATTCAGACTCGAGTGCCTTTCTCTAGCAAAAAATTGTTGTTTTTTCTTTTTTCTTGGATAGTTAGATTGCTGTTTGAGGGCTGTGCGACCAGGGATTTCCTTCCACCAGCGGCTTGGCGTGAGCGGGCGATCTGGGGCTCCGGACACCGCTCCGCTTAATTTTTTTGTGCTGCGTTTGCTGCCGCCGCCATTTTGCCACCAATTGCCTTAATTAGATTGCAATTGTCATTGAGTTAACTTTAACTGCCACAGCCCTTTTCTATCGGCATTTTGAGTCCCTGCTGGCTGGCATACTCCTAATTTGGAAGCGCCTCGCTGAGGCTGAAATTCCCACCTCCGCTACCTGTAGCCGGCCGTTTGGACTATTGGAGGCTTGCCGATTTTCCTCACAGTCTGGATTACGGCGTTAGACTCCTTGCCGGCTAACAAACACTGTGCATAGGGACGCGCCTTGCTGAGGCTGCGTTTTCTCTATTTAACTATTTCTTTCTATTTTGTCTGTCAAATTTGTGTCTTTCACTTCCTTTCAAGACATTTTACTACTGGGTGGCTTCTGTCAGTTGCGGAGGTCTCTGGCCGCCATTTTGCTGCATTTGTAAAACACCCACCATTTCCTCTGCATTGGCATGGCATGTCAGGGGCGCCCTGGGCTTTGGTTCTCAGCGGCGCTGAAGAGGCTGCAGGATTTGGATGCTGTCCATTCACTCCTGCTTCTGATTTATTCTGCTCATCGGTCTACTTACATCCAGACAGGAAAGTATATCATTCCTTACCTTGATTGACAAGTTCATTGCTGTTATTTAAAAAAAATAAAATACGAAATTTAAAATTGTACACAATATAATTCAAGGGGTTCTCAAACATTGCTGTATATACGTTTCGTTCACCCCTCTTGTATATAGTTCCTGATCTTTCTACATTTAAAAAAAAAAAAAAAGATAACCAGCAAGGCCAAATTCATCTGTTTTTTACCCAACTGTCAAGACTGTAATTATGTCTGATGTTGAGCTATCATCTGATCTGGAGCAGGTTCCCTCACCGTTGCCTGCGCCCCCACCCAAAATGCCCAAAGGAAAAAAGTCTAAGGCTTCTAGAGCCACCAAAACACTGTCAGCCTCTGATAAGGATGAGCAAAGGTGGCACAATGCTTTAGAGCGGCAGTTTTCCAAGGCGCAAAGTCAGGCGCAGCTGGCTATGTCCACTGAGGTTCTGGAGATGTCTCCTACTCCACAAATGCATCTCACGTCTGTTTCTTCAAATGTTGTTGACCAGGGTGCTGATTACCATGATGATTTGGTGGAGGTTCCCCAACAAGCTGCTCCTGCTCACTTAGCAGCCCCAAGGCCTGGCTCCTCAGGTGCTGCCAGTCAAGTTTCTCAGAGGTCCCGCCCCGCTCCGGAGGCCACTTTCATCCCCACGGTGGCCAGGCTCCGTCCCGAGGGATGTCATGGTTCTGGTCTGGCTCTGGACTTTAATTCCCTAGTGTCACAGGCTATTTCACCTATCTTTCAGGTGGGGTTGCAGCAAACTGGCTATATGTTCCCTCCTGATTATGGGACCCAGGCACCTTCTCAAATGCAGGCTGTTCCATTGCAGACTCCTCCATCGGCCTATGGGCATTTAGCTGAGCCAGTCCGTGAGGAGGAATTTCTGGAAGATTTCGAAATGTCGGGTGATGAGGATGACATACCGGAAAAACCAGCCTTTCTGGGATTGTTTAAGCCTTCTTTGTTCAAATCGCTTTTGCGGAAGGCAAAAGCTGCTACCAATATGGGGCAGGGGCCGGAACAGCCCTCTACGTCCCATTCTCAACCGAATCTAACTGACAATTTGTTTTTATTGCCTAAACCTGAGAGTGAATTTGTACCTTACCCAGATCTATTCTCACAGGTCATACAGAAGCCTTGGGAACATCCTGCTTCTCTCAGGTCCGAATTCCTTTGATAGACGCCTATATTGTTCTGCACCGGAATTTGATGCCCTGCTTCAGCTGCCTGTTGTAGATGAACCTGTGGCCGGTCTTACCTCATCTTCTATCCTGGTTGGAGAGGTTGGTGATGGTTTAAAATTTGAAGATAAGAGAGCGGAGATGGCCTTTCGAAAGACCCACCAGGCTGCGGCCTGGTCCATTCGAGCGGTGACCTCGGCCTCTTTTTTCAACAGGGCTTCCCTAGTCTGGCTCCGTCAGCTTCGTGACCGTCTACCCCCAGAGGACGCACGGTTGCAACAAGACGTGGCTAAGTTGGTGGCGGCGGCCGAATATTCGGCAGATGCTTCTTTGGATGCGGCTAAGTTGGCATCAAGAGCGTTGGCTTCCATGGTGTCCTCTCGTCGCCTCTTGTGGTTGCGCAACTGGAGGGATGACATTAAATCGAAATGGCGTCTTATTGCTGCTCCCTATAAGGGTACCTCTCTCTTTGGTGATTCCTTGGACTCGGTTCTAGTAGAGAACAGGGGTAAGAAAAAAGTCCTGCCCTCGGCCTTTCAACGTCCAGATAGACGGTACTCCCTGTACCCGAGGCAGTCCTTTCGTCATGACCAAGGAACCAGCGGTTCCTCTTTTCATCGATCAATGTCTTCCATCTACCAGCCAGCCTCCGACCGGGCTTCTTTTCGGGACCGAGGCAGACGTCAATCCAATTTCCGCTGTCCATTCAGGGCTTCCTCCGGCCGCTATTCCCGTCGGGAAAAGTGACTCCTGGCTCCCGATTTCCATTGGGGGCAAGTTGCAGGCCTTTTACCATCAGTGGGAGACTACCACTTCGGATGCATGGATACTTCGCACAGTTACCAGTGGCCTGCTATTAGAGTTCACCTCCACCCCCCCCGACCCACTTCGTCCAGTGCCCCTGGCCTTCCCAACCGGCCAAACACCGACTTTTGTCTCTAGAAATACAACATCTTCTTCAAATAGAGGCTATAGAGCCGGTCCCAACGCATCAGGAGCAGACGGGGTTTTATTCCACCTTATTCCTGGTCCTGAAGAGTTCCGGGAGTTAGAGAGGAATTCTAAACTTAAAAAGCGACTGAACAATGATATTCTATACCGTCGCTTCAAGATGCACTTGCTCAAGTCTCTGCTGGGATACATCCGCCAGGGAGACCTGCTGCAGTCGATCAATCTAAAGGAAGCTTACCTTCATGTGCCCGTTCATCCGGGCCACTGACAATTCCTGCGTTTTGCCTTTTCCAACGACCACTTCCAGTACAAGGCGATGCCGTTTGGCCTCTTGTCGGCGCTGCGCACATTCACAAAGATCTTGGTGGCTCTTGCGGCATTTCTCAGGGAGGTCCCTGTATGGCTGGTTTGCTACCTGGACGACATTCTGATTCTTTCGTCTTCGATCAGGCAGACAAGGACAGACAACTTGTGATCCAGGTTCTGCAATGCCACGGCTTCACCCTGAATCTTGACAAGAGCCACCTTTGTCCCACCATGAGACTTTTACATCTCGGAGCGGTGATCGACTCCGCTCAGGGCCTGGTCTACCTCTCGCCCGATCGACAGTCCAGCATTCGGGACCTGGTGGCACAGGTGTTGGCACACAAGAAATCGCCCCTGCTTCTGCTGTCTCAACTTCTGGGGAAGCTCATCTCGTGCATTGCTGTCGTTCCGTGGGCATGTTACCATTTACATCATCTTCAGTGGTTTCTACTCCCGTTCCAACGACAAGGGTGGGGGGAGTCTCTTTCCAAGGTCACTGTACCTGCACGAGTACGGCTTTCTCTCCGTTGATGGCTGTCTCCGGCCCTACTTCAGGGGTCTCTCTTCCTGGAACTGGAGCGTGTCGTCTTGACCACAGATGCCAGTCTGCACGGATGGGGTGCCCATCTACAATGTCAACTTGCGCAAGGCACCTGGTCTCCCGTGGAAAAACTCCACAGTATCAACTGGCTGGATCTACGGGCCGTGCGGCTAGTGCTGGCACACTTCCATCACCAAATGCTACACAAACACGTTCTGATACTCATTGACAACATGGCAACGAAGGCACACGTCAACCATCAAGGGGGCACGCGTTCCTTGTCGTTGATGTAGGAGATGGAGAGGTTGATGTCATGGGCAGAGCGTCATCTCCTTTCTCTGAAGGCGGAGCATATCTCCGGCAAACTCAACCGAGAGGCAGACTGGCTCAGTCGGGACCAGTTAGATCACTCGGAATGGAGACTGGATCCTCGACTGTTTCAGGATCTGTCTCGCTGGTTCGGGACTCCAGTTCTAGATCTATTTGCGACCCAGCACTACACACAGCTGCCAAGGTTCTTCTCCCGCTTCCCAACACCGGGTGCAGAAGGACACGACGCTCTTTGATCTCCGTGACCTCACGGGCTTCTCTACGCCTTCCCCCCAATCCCGGTCATTCCCAAGGTGATCCAGAAAGTGATCAGGGAGTGGGCAGATCTACTTCTTGTGGCGCCACATTGGCCTCGTCGGGCGTGGTTCGACGATATTCTGTCCCTGTCCGTCGGGGAACCGTGGCAAATTCCACCGGATCAGATTTCTCTCACTCAAGGCGCCGTACACCATCCAGAACCAGAATGGCTTTGTTTGACCGTCTGGCGCTTGAAAGGATACGTCTGACTAAGAGTCATCTGTCAAGCGAAGTTATCTCGATCATCCAAACTGCCAGACGGCCGTCGACGGTCCACATATATAATGCGTCTTGGAAGGCCTTTGCCAGGTGTTGCGCTCTTCACCATGTAGATCCAACCTCGGCCACAGTCCCAGATGTCTTGCAATTCCTACATTCGGGCTTCGCAGACGGTCTAGCCCCTTCCACACTCAAGGTAGCCGCCTTGGCGACAGTTCTCATTGGAGACAACCAACAGTCCTTGTCTCATGATTCTCGAATCAAATCCTTTCTCCAAGGTGCGTCGCATCTCCGTCCTCCGGCGATACACCGCTATCCGACATGGGACTTGACACTGGTTCTGCAGGATTTGACATCAGCTCCATTTGAACCTATTTGTACGGCCAGTCTTCGATTTCTCACCTTGAAGATGGCTTTCTTGTTGGCTATAACATCTGCTCGACGAGTCTCTGAGATTGCTGCCTTTTCTATTAGAAGTGACCTTTGTGTATTTTATCAAGACCGTGTGGTTCTTCGATTAGACCCGGCGTTTATTCCTAAAATTAATACTCCTTTCCATCGAGTGCAGGATATTGTGCTTCCTAATTTCTGCCCGGACCCACGTCACCCTTCAGAAAAACGTTGGCACACGTTGGACGTGCGGAAGGCCTTGAAACGTTATATTAGTCGTACTGCTTCCTTCCGGAAGACTGAAGCATTGCTAGTGTCATTTCTGCCCTCCTCTCTAGGCTAGAAGGTTTCATCTGCAACGATAGGCCGATGGCTTAAGGCCTGTATTTCTAAGGCTTATGAACTGCGAGGGGATCCTGTTCCAGCTCGGATCTTGCTTCATTCCACGCGCAGTGCTGCTACTTCAGTGGCCTGGGCCACCCAGGCATCTATCGACGACATTTGTCGTGCGGCCGCTTGGTCCTCGATTTCCTCCTTTGTCAGGCATTACCATTTAGATGTTTATGCTTCGGCTGATGCCGCCTTCGGCAGGAGGGTTTTACAATCAGTAATTTCTCCCCTCGGCCAGGAAGGGGCTTCGATCCCTGCCCAACGGACTTAAACTTGGGTATATCCCAGACGTAGGAATGTCTGAGCAGCGAGTCAGGAAAATGGACATTGCTTACCTGAACGTCCCTTTTATGCTCGCTGCGAAGACATTCCGGCCTGCCCGTCATCTCGCCTTCTCCTGGCCTTGGTGGGGTTCTTTCTTTGTTTCCCTCTGCAGCTGTGGACTCCCGAGATTCGATCTGTTGCTACACACTCTTGTCTGTGCACGTTGTCTTTGCGAAAAGACTGGGGACTACCGAGAGGGAGTGCCGAGACCAGCTTCAGAGGGGGTTGATTGGCACTCAGTCAAGCAAATCACAGACAAGCTGTCCCCAGACATAGGAATGTCTTCACAGCGAGCATAAAAGGGACGTTCAGATAAGCAACGTCCATTCTATAATAAAAACGACGTCGTCAGCAAAGGCTTGGAGTTTATACTCCTCTTTTTTGTCTTTCAATCCTTTTATTTCTTTGTCTTTTCTAATTTCATTTACTAATGTTTCTAAAGATAATATGAACAGTAGTGGGGATAGGGGGCATCCCTGTCTCACTCCTTTTGATATTGTAAATTGTTCTGTCATGTCTCTGTTTATCATTATTTTTGCAGTTTGGGAGGAGTAAATCTTCTTAATCATATTTAAAAATTTGTCACCGAATTTCATGTTTTCCAATTGTAATATGAAGAATTTCCAATTTAAGTTGTCAAAAGCCTTCTGCGCGCCCAAAAACATTAATGCCAATTGTTTATCTGAGTTTTTTTCATAGTATTCCAAGACATCGATTATTAAACTCATATTGTTTTTTATTTGCCTTTTTGGAAGGAAGCTGTTCTGATCTGGGTGAATATGCTCATTAATTACTCTTTTTAGTCTCTCTGTGATAATCAGTGTAAATAATTTGTAATCTACGTTTAATAGCGATATCGGCCTGTAGTTTTTGATTTGTGTTTGATCTATTTCTTCTTTTGGAATAAATGTAATGATAGCTTCAGTCCAAGATTTGGGGATTGTGGCTTTCAAGAGTGCATCATTAAAGGTTTCAAGTAAGATTTCATCTATTGGGTGTTGACATGTTTTGTAAAATTCTGCCGGTATGCCATCTGGTCCTGGAGTTTTATTGTTTTTTTGTTTTTTCTTTGTCTCTATTAATTCCATCATGGTAATTGGTCTATTCAGTAACTCTCTATGTGTTTCTTCTAATCCTTGGGTGTTTGTTTTATTTAAATATTCTTTAATAACTTCTTCCAAGATCTCTTCTTGTTCATATAAATTTTGGAAAAAAGTTTTTGCTATTTTCTTTTTATCTTCGTTTCTATAGTATATCTCTCCTGTGTCGTCTTGCAGTTGGTGTATTGTTCCCTTCTCTTTTTCTTTTTTCAATTTGTACACCATCCAACGTCCTGTTTCGTTTGCGTGTTCAAAGTGGTTCTGTTTTGCTAATTTGATTTTCCTTGCTATTTCTGTTTGTGTGATCAGATTAATTTTATGTTTTGTCAAATTTATTTTTCCTTTAACTGTTTTATTTTGAGGTTCTTTCTGTAACTCAGATTCATATTTTTTAAGTTCTTTTAAAAAATTATCTCTTATTTGTTGTTTATCTTTATTTTTCTTCGCTGTGTATGCAATTGTCAAGCCTCTTATATAGGCCTTTGCCATATCCCATAAATTTTGGAGTGAGATTTACTCTTTTGTATTTATCTTGAAGAATATATTCATTTCTTTTTCAATCATCTGTGAATAATCTTTATCTTTTAATATTTCCTTGTTCATCATCCATCTTCTCTTTCTTTGGTATCCTTTCCATATTACTTTTACCGGATTATGGTCTGCCCAAGTATTTGTCAATATTTCTACTTCCTCTAAGTCTTTTCTGAGTTCTGTCATCATCCAAACCATGTCTATTCTAGACCACGATTGGTGTGGGCTAGAATAGAATGTATACTGTTTTTTTTCTTTAATCACCTCCCTCCATACGTCTTGCAGCTGTAGTTCCTGTGTCATGTCTTTGAAGGTATCTGGAAGTGTCTTTTTCTTAGTTTTATTTTTCTTATTACTCTGGTAATCTTTTCCATGTCCGTAATTGCATTAAAATCACCTATAATACAAATATTCTCATATTCCAATTCTTTTACTAGATCATGTATTTTTTTTTTGAATAATACATTTTGGTTTCCATTTGGTGCATAGATCGAGATCAGTAGTATTGTTTTTAACTCTACTTGTATCTCAATCATCAATACCCTTCTATCTTCGTCTGTGTATATTTGTTTTGTTTTCAGGTGTTTTTTAATATAAACTGCGATTCCTTTCTTTTTTTGTTCGCTAATGAAGTGATTCATTGATTCTCTAATATTTTTGGTGTTGTTTCTTGATATGGACTTCCTGTAAATTTATAATATCCATCTCCAGTTATTGTAATTTTGTAAATGTCTGGGTTCTCGTGGCTGGTGCGTTTAATCCATTTATATTGATTGAGATCATTTTTATTTCCTGTTTCGTTTTTATTCTTATCTATTCGTTGTCCATAGTCTTCTTGTGTTTCTTGTTGTTATTTGTGTTTTTTCCCTCGTTCCCTCTCTTTCCATTCTTTCTCTTTCCAATCTTCTCTTTTCCTCTTGTTCTCCTTCCATTTCTTCTGTGGATTGTTCCTCTTGGCTTTTATTCTCCGGTTCTTCTCTGCTTTCCTGGTCTTCTTCTAGCACAAAATGATGGTCGAAGAACTCCTGGGCTTTTTCCAAACTGTCAATCCTAAATTTCTTCTCTTGCCAAGAGATTAAGATGCCTTCCAGTATCAGCCAACGGAACATCACTTTGTATTTATTTAATTGTGCTGTTAGGAAATCGTAATTTTTCCTCTGGTCCCTTACTCTTCTTGGAATTTGTTTGAGTGTTATTATCTCCTTCTCCTTGTCTCATCTCATCTTTTTGTAGATATCTTCTTTTATAGTTTTTTTTAGTGAATCTGATGTGCACCTCTTTTGGCAATTTATGCCTGCGGGCATAATTTGTATGAACTCTATAAACCTCATCGATGTCCCTTTGGATATCTTCCTTGTCTCTCTCTGTTGCTTCTGCTAGGATTCCTGCCATTGTCTCTCCTAGGTCTTCGTCTTTACTTTCCGCTACGTTCTGGAATTTATCCTTATTAATTTTGAGTTCCGCTACCTCACCAAATTCTTCTATCTTTTGTATCAATTTAGAACCCGTTTCTAATGGATCTTCCAAAATAAATACCATGTCATCGGCAAATGCTTGAATCTTATATTCTTCCTTCTTAATTTTTAAGCCCCTTATTTCCTGGTCTTCTCTAATTTTTGTTAGAAGGGTTTCAAGTGATAGAATAAATAGAAGAGGAGAAAGAGGACACCCTTGCCTTACCCCTTTTGATATATCAATTTTTTCAGCCAGGATAGTTTCCATAACTACCCTGGCTGTTTGTCTGGAGTATATTTTTCCAATCATTCTTTCAAATTCCCCCCCCCCCCAATTCCATATAATTTAATTGTGTTGTAATAAAGTTCCAATTCAAATTATCAAAAGCCTTTTCGGCATCAAGGAAAACCAGTGCTGCTTGCTTTTCCGGATGACTTTCATAATATTCAAGAACGCTCATTACTATCCTCATGTTATTTTTAATTTGCTGCCCAGTCAGAAAACCGTTTTGGTCCGAATGTATATAATTATTCAAAAAAAAATTATACTATACTTTAACAGCAATATTTTCCTATTTTCTATCCCACACATATATGCTGTATTTTATAATATTCTTGTCACTTTTATAACTCTAATCGCAATACTTATAAATATACAATTTTCTAAATATCTATTATCATTCTTACAGTATTTAAATAAATATATTTCTTTACAATACAATAATATTATTCTCCAATCAGTTCACTTATTCAGTTATATATCTATACCTTAATTCAATTCATTCAAACCATTCCATTTAAATCTATATCTATAATCAATTTTCTTCTTGTCACTTCTTGTCCACTCATGTCTGTCTGCTGCAATCTTACATCAGCCTTCTCTCCAGATTTTCCTTGCCTTCAGCTCCACCAAATGGCACCTCTTCTTGTCTTCTTTGCAATATATTCAATGTCTCCACAATAATCAATCAACATCGTCCCCTTCTTTGTATCAGTAATTTATTAATTGTAGTTATCTTTTCCTTCCTCGAAATTCAGTTCAGTTGCTTGACGCTAAATTCTCCACTGTCCAATTATCCCTTCAAGTTTTTATAATCCTCCACATCAGTTTCTCAACATCCCTCAGTCACCATTTTTCATTCAGTCATTTTCCAATGCGCTGCTCCTCCAATCCATGGACGGGTAGTATCTCCTAGTTGTTGGGCAGAAACTGAGTGCTAATCACTTCCCATTGCTAGGCCACGCCCACCTCAACCAATCAGCTTCAGTCTTTCTCACTCAGTTGCCGTGAGAACTTGGCAATTTGAGTGCTCTCTAATTGGATTTAATCCTTCCCTTCTTATTATTTTATTATTTTATTTTATTATTTTTGCCATCTTTATTCTTCTGTTGAGGAGCTGCTTCGTGGAAAATTTCTTTATTGCTGTGTGCCTTGGGCGAGCTTGGGGCTCCAAGCTGTCTGGCCTATCTCCCCACCAATCGGGGCTACAGCACGCCGGATTCCGACCCGGCTGGGCGGATCCGTGCTTCTCTTGCCGCTGGCGACATGCTAGCCTACCGGTGAGCCGGTATAGCTGCTGTCGCCTCAGCTCCAACCATCGAGCGGCTCCGGAGTGCCTGCCTTGTCCTCGGGCGGCCTCCGATGATTCCAAAGTCAGCTGTAAAGCGCTGAGAGCGTGCGGCGCTTACGGAGGCAAGCGCTGACCGAGAGGCAGACTTCTGCGCCGTTTTCAGGCTGAGTCGAAGCGCCATCGACTGGATCGCTGTGGTGTGGCAACAGAGGTGCCGTTCCTTTGACGATCAAGCTCGGCACCTCAGGAGGTACTCTGGCTGAGTGACGGCCGCCATTTTGTTTCGGGACTTTGATGGCGTGGCAGCCGCCATTTTGGAGGGACTATTAAAAAAAAAAAAGGACAGTTTGCCTGCTAGCAGCGGAGTGACATTGGGCCCTATTAGCCACCCTTACTGGCTTGTGTCCCTGACTTTTGACCAGGGCGGATCATCCTTATCCCTTCCTGCCTGGTTGGGTTGGCTGCCTTGCATTGGGGTTTGAGCTCAGCAGCTTCTGAGCCTAATTTACCCCTACTCAGCTGAGTCTTCACTGTGGGCATTTTTCCTTGGGAGGAGCCTCGGTGCTGAACTTTGGTGGCCTTGGCCTGCTGCTTGCCCTGTACTCTCATTCAGCATGGCAGACATAGTCTTATCTTCAGACTCGGAGGGCCCTTGTAATTACCCTGCCACCCAACACAAGTCAGGGAGTAAGAAAGCGAAATCCAAGTCTTGCAAATCCAATTTGGCTTCTAAATCTTCCGCCACGAATAAGGCAGAGCAGAGCCGCCATGAAGCCTTAGAAAAACATTTTGAGAGGGCCCAACAACAACAACAGCAGGCGGCTTTGTCAAGGCAGTTTTCCGCTTCTGAGGACTGCGCAGATCCTTCTGGGAATTTGCAAGCCGGATCCTCCTCTGGATCATCAACCAGACTCACTGCTTCCAATTTACAACGCTCCAAAGGAGTATCGATGTCATTGCCAGATGTTTCGAGCCAGTCTGATGTTTCATTGGGCCGTAGGCGTCTTCCAGAAGCTACCTTTACCCCTACTGTGGCGGGGCTCCATCCAGAGGTGCCTGACACTCCTGTGAGTTTTCAATCTATGTTGTCAGATGCGCTGGCAAGGATCTTAGCAGCTGGCATACAGCAGGATGTGGATCAGCCGGTTAATGCCTGTCAGCCTTCTCAGGCTCCGGCCCCTGTCAATGACGCAGTTCCTAGTACCAGTAGGCACCGTCCTGTCGAATCTTCTTCAGAGGAGTCTGAAGAGGGGGAAATTTGTCTGGAGGATGTTGAATTCTCAGAGGATGAGGATCTCCCCCCCGAGAAGCCCGCTTTCACGAATTTGTTCTGGCCTTCTGTCTTCAAATCTTTACTACATAAAGCCAAGGTTGCTACTAAGTTTGGTATCGCAGAAGGGACTGCTGAGAAATCTTCTGACTCTCAGCACCCGCACGATGCTCTATTCCAAGTATCTCAACAAGACCAGGACGTGATTCCTTGTCCTCCCTTGTTTTCCAATATCATTAAATCTGCCTTTGGCCAACCAGGTTCCCTGACAGCTCTGAGTGGCCTCGACAAGCGTCTTTATTCTGCCGAGTCGCAGTTGGAGGAGCTTCTTGCCATACCTTCAGTTGACACCCCGGTCGCTGCCTTATCAACTTCTTCGATGCTGACCTCAGACGTGGTGGATGGCCTCAAGGCGGAGGATCGCAAGATGGAAATGGGGTTCCGCAAGGCGCACCAAGCTGTGGCTTGGGCTATCAAGGCAGCCACGGCCACATCATTTTTCAATAGGGCTTCTCTGATCTGGCTCCGCCAGCTTCAGGAGAGGTTGCCCCCCACTGATACCAGGCTGCACCAGGACATTAATAAACTTGTGGCAGCAACAGAATATTCCGCGGATGCCTCTTTGGCGGCAACAAAATTTGCTTCACAAGCTATGGCAGCAACCGTAACCAACAGGCGTCTCTTCTGGTTTTGCAATTGGCGCGCGGACAACAAAGCTAAATGGAAATTGGCATCAGCGCCATTTACTGCCCCATCACTATTCGGTCCTTGTCTGGAGCCAATCTTGATAGAAGATAAAGACAAGCGCAAGGTGCTGCCGTCCTCCTTCCGCCGTTCTGAGCAGAGATATGCACCTTATACACAGCGACAGTCCTTTCACTCCTCCTCGGGGTCGGGCGGCCCATACTACCAGCGCTCTTATTCCCAGGTGTCTGACAGACAGACAGACAGCCATTTCGAGATAGGACCAGGAACCAGTCCCAAGTGAAGCGTCCCTTCAGAGGTTCCTCCTACCAACCTC